TTGATTTTTGTTGTTGTGCTCTAGCTCTTGAAATCTATTTCAAATATGTAATAAAATATTATTTATTATAAAATGATTTTACCAGAAAACGAATTCAACCACCTGAAGGGTGTCAATAAACAACCTTATTTGGACATCAAAAGCTATCCATCACATTTGACCAACTGATGTTTCTTTTCCTGTTTTCCACTGCAGTACCAAGACCAACTCTGCAATGATCAATTCCTCTTCTCTTTAAATTCAACTAAGTTTTCTACATTCATCCAATAGGCCATTTCCGAGTTGCCTTTTGTCTTTGTGTCAAAACGAGTCTAAGTGCAAAACCATTCACTTCCGCCTGCAGATTTATTAACTCATTTTTATGTGAAAGGTTTCGCACAAAGACTCGTTTTGAAACAGGCAAAAGGAAACATTCATCCATGAGCTGCTCACAGGAGCCTTTGATTAGTGTTTGTTATGAATATAAGTCTGTATTAACACTACTTTCAATTCAGCTATGTTACTGCGCCTTTCAATAACATGCGGACTCAAATTCAAATGTCGTCAATCAAATGTTCGGCGGCTCCTGCCAGCTTCTGACCGGTCTGAACTGTGCTCTAAGATTTGATTTGATCACCGCGCGCTCCGCAGTAGTTGGAAGCTTGGAGGAGCCGCCGAACATTCGATTGATAGTAGCGGAAAACGCACTTGTCGGCTGAGCTTTTAATTTTTGAGTCCGCAGGAGTTCACATGTTATTAAAAGGCGCAGTAATGCTCGCGATACACGATATATGTAGAAGTGTGATCAAAAATGTATTTTTCTCTTGGTTATTATGATTTTTACAGACACCGTGAGGGTAACAATGACAGAGAGGGTTGGAGTTCTGTGCCAGATGCGACTATAACACCTTTAATATAATGTCTATCGCATTTTAGGACAATTATGTTCAAGCCCCACACCCTCCTTTGAGTCCCACAATGGTAAGAGTGCATGTCCCATTACTTAGCTATATGTCGGAGAAATCAAAGACAAACTAGTTTTATGGCCAATAATTCTGGTTTCGTCAGAGAAAAAAGGGAAGGGTACTAGTGCTATAAGCACAAAGTGAGAAATCGTCCTCTCAGCTTCTGCACGCGCTTTGATATGGACGTCTTACGGAAAGTTTCTTAACCCCATCTTTTGAATTTCTTCATTTTATTCATGGGTC